ATAGCAAGTTACACTTTTATTAATTTAAATGTTTCCAACTCCCTTCTCCTTTTCCCTCTCTTTGAAATAAAAAAAAAAAAAACTATTAACAACAACAAAGACTGCAACCTATCTTCCTTCAGTCCCATATGTCCAGAATGCACTGCTCACCAAAGCCTTCTCAATGTCACTGTGACGAAGGTGTGCAGGAGTGAGTGAGCGGGCACTCACTGAGGAGTCTGCATGCTGTGAAAAGCCTAATTCTGGAAGCCTCCTACATAAGGCTTTACTAATATTGAGCAAAGAACAAGCAAGAAGCTTCACTGAAGGACAGTCTCAGACCATGTAAGACATGAGGAATGAAATCACTGCAATCTGAACCAAGCTCACCTGACCAATTGCGTCTTGTAAAGGAGTGTTTGCTTCCCACCTGGGAGTTACCTGAAGGACCAGCCTGCTGTGGGGATGCTCAGGGAGATGGGACCTTGTAAGGAGAAGGAACTCCTGTCACATGCATGAGTTTGAATATGAATGTCAACCTACCTCAGCCTCAACGTTATCTTCTGTGAAATGGGGATAACATCAACCCCCAATACCCACGGACGCCCTCCCTCCCCCCGAATACATACACATTTTCTTCCGCTGTAGCCACAGCTGCCGCCCCAGTGGAGAGGGAGATGTTGAATGAGAACCATATGCAAAGTTGTAACTATCAGAGGTGAGAGAAATGCTTTTTTTCCTGGTCCCTTATTATGCTATAAATACCAGACAGCAGATAGAGCAGGAAATTTTCAAGCTGGAAGGGGTCTGATGGGTCATTTAATTAAAGCCTCTCCATTTTTAGATAAAGAGATTGAGGTTCAGAGACAACCCCTGACTTGTCCAAGGTTACTGGCAGGTGGCAATTAGAGGCTCACCTCCCTGGCTCCCTGCCCAGCGATCCTGCAGGACTCCGCACAGCCTCTCCGCGGGTGAAACAACAGTGTCTCCAAGTTCAGACAAGAAACCTCGGGCTTGAACGAGGCAAAGGTTTCAAAACTTCTGATTTCCTTCAGCGGATCTTAAGACACAAAAGGAGGCGATGAATCACCTTCCACGACGTGCAGTTAGGTCACATTCCTCCTTGCGATTTGGACAAAGAAATGCGAGTTCTGCAGCATTTCCGATGTCCTGGCTGGAGGAGAGGGTGAACTTTTGATCCATGCCCCCCAGTGCTGCACCCCCTTCCCTCGCTTCTCCTCCAGGAGGCTGAGCCAGATCGCCCCTGCTGGCCCTCAGGAGGGCTGTGTGCTTGGGTCATGTTCCATCACCTGGAGGGCGGTGGTCAGAGCCAGCTGTGTGTGCTGGGAGATGCCTCTGGTATTTGTAGAAGCACCAGGCACTGTTTCAAGTGGGAGCGCTGGGAAGGAGAAGGGGAAAGGGAAAGAAAGGGAGAAGAGGTAAGGCCGGCTAACAGATTGAAATGGATAGTGCCTCCTGGGCCTACCAAGTAGTTCTCGGAGCTGGCGAAGCGCTGTCCCAGCCTCCACTCCTCCTAACATCCCCCATCCCAGGAGCCACGCCACGGAGGCACCGTCCTTGTGTGCCCCTGAGTAATGCAGCCTGGGTGTGAGCCTGGACCACAGGCAGGACCCAAATGCAAGAGGACACAGGGGAGACATGGCAGCCAGGACTCCGGAACAGAAAACCTGTGGGAGGTGGTCACCTGGGGCCTCAGAGGAATGTGGTGGAAAGGAAAGGAGACAGGGCCCATCGGGGACAGCTTTTGAAGCAGCTGTGGGTGCGGACTCTGCCCCAGGGACAGAGGAGTTATGAGATAATCTCACGGCTGCCACAGCTCTTTGCAATTCAGAGAGCATTTCCACACCCAGCCACTGGGCCCCAGCCAACCCGGGGATGGCACACGGTGATGTCCATTGCACAGATGAATGAACTGAGGCTTGGAGGGCCTCGGAGGCTCAGAGGGCCACCCAGCTCATCCACAGTGAAGTGAGGGTTGGAATCCAGACTCTCTCTGACCACCTCCAGGTTCCTTACACACAGGGGGCTTGCACGGTTGTTGAGCAAAGTGGTGTCTCAATGAGAGACCTTTTGCTGGGCAGGGGAGGTGCCCTTGGAGGTAGGCAGGCAGATGGACGTGTCCCAAAGTAAAGAGTGGGCCAGAGCAGTGGCTGTTAGCTATCATCACCCCTTAATCCGGCAACATCAGTAACCAGAGCTTAGAAAACTCAACCGTGGTGGTCGTGAGTCATAGCCCCACACCCGACTCTGCTGTCCCACACCATGGGCTCTGCTCGGCCTGTTTCCTCACCTGTAAGGTGATGACAGTGGAGGGGCAGGAAGGGACACCCGACTCATAGACTCGGGCCTGGCAGCGGATGGGCAGTGTGTGGTGACACTGTAGGGGCTGGTCCCACATCACAGCCAGGAAGTGGGAGGGATGAGATCAGGACCCAGTAGCCCACTGTGGTCCCAGGAACAAGCCTGCCAGTCCTCAGTCTCTAAGTTTCCTCCAGTGAAAAGTGATGCTCTGCGTCCTGTCTATCTTGGGAAAGTATGAAATGAGATCCGAGTTTGTTGGCTCACTTCACCCAAGCAAGGAGCATTTCCACCGGCTTCCACAGGGACAACAATACGCATCTAACATCTGAGGTCGGCATGACATCACTGTGAGCAGAGCTGGCCTTATCAATGATGTGACCAGAGAGGGCCAGGGAGGTCTCCCTGTGTCCAGGTGAGCATCCCACCTGTTCTCACAGAAGAGAAACCTGAACTCCAGAGGAGGGAAGATAAGTACCCAGGGTTATGTAATCACCAAATAATGTCTCCTTTGGCAATCTCAGCTCTTTGGGCCATGCCGAGATTTAAATGGCCATTTGAGAGAACTGGAGAAGAGCTGTCCCGCATGAAAAGACCCGTGAACAGAATTCAGGTTTCATAGATGAATACTGGCCACTTCCATTTGCTTCTGCCGCCCCTGCAACTTTGGATGACGGGGTTTTTGTTGTCAGCGAGGCTTATGCTTGTGTCAGAAGCATGCCCAAGCAGAGGAATCTAGGTGGCAGACCTCCAGGATAGGAAATAAGAAGTCTGTGCATGCTAACAATTTCTAGAAAATTCTCCACCTTTTGTGAAATATGTGCTTGTCGAGTGGCCCTGACCTGGCTGGAAATCTGAGCCAGGCAGCAGAAACAGAGAACCCAAGGTGGGAGGAGTTTCAAGGGCATTCTGAGAGGGTGCCCATTGCCCATAGCTTCCATCCTGCAGCGGCCCTGCCTCTACCCAGCTGGGTCAAGAGCAGGGAGTCCTCTCCTGTTCCCACAAGTGGGGCCGGGCACGTGTGGCAATAGCACCCCCACTTTTCTGTGTTTGCAATCAAGGGTGGAGCTTGTTAAAAATATAAATATCCAGACCCCACTTCCCAGAAATTCTGATTAAGTCTGAGGACACCTAGGGATTTTAATTTTTTACAAGCTTGCTCCTCAAGTGATTGGTGGCATGCATGAAGAATATGAAACACTGACACAGAAAGACATCTGCACCCCTACATGTACTGCAACATTATTTATGATTCCCAAGGTATGGAAGCAACCCAAGTGCCCATCAATAGATGAGTGGATAAAAAAGTTGTGGTACATATATACAATGGAATATTACTCGGCCATAAGAAGAATGAAATCTTACCATTTGCAACAACATGGATGGACCTAAAGGGTATTGTGCTAAGTGAATTAAGTCAGTCAGAGAAAGACAAATATCATATGACTTTGCTTATATGTGGGATATAAAGAACAAAAAAAAATGAACAAACACAATTGAAATAGACTCATAGCTATAGAGAACTGACTGAGGGCTGCCAGAAGAGAAGGGGTTGGGTGAAAAAGGTGAATCAATTGAGAAGTACAGATTGGTAGTTACAGAATAGTGACGGGGATGTAAAGTACAGCACAGGGAGTATAGTCAATAATCCTATATAATAAAGAGACAATATGCAAATGGTCATCACACCCTCATACCATCACACCGTGATGCCCTCACACAGTCACAATCCATCATGTGCAGGTGGGCGGGGACTTGATGCTGCGTGCGTGGCAAGGAGGCAGATCCTGGTGGCTCTGCATGGCATGGAGGTGGGACCCCCAGCTCTGGCTTTGGGGCAATCCATC